CTTCTCACCCACCACACCTCTGGCCTGTACCTCAGTTCTGTAAGCATAAGAAGTAAATAAATCTTAAATAATAATAATAATAATAATAATAATAAACCTTAATTTTTTTTAAAGATTTATTTATTTACTTGTGCATACAGAACTGGTGTAAAGGCCAGAGATACAGGGGTGGTGAGAGGATTCACCAGAGACAGCGTGTGGAGCAGAATAGACAAAGTACACTGCTGAGGGGAGCAGCGGGCGGGGCAGGAGAGGTCTGCTGCACCATGTGGGTCATCTCTGGGCAGGGGGCCAGGATCCATTTCATGCTGAAGTGGCTTTAGTGTCTCAGTGCTGTGCTTTAACCCGCTGCGCCACCAGGGAGGGCCCTAAGCCTCAATTCTTTAGGCAAATAAGAGCTAAGTATATTGATGAACTGAAATGAAGATAATTTAGCATTCAATTGATATAACTTGCCTCATTTAAAATAATTTTTCCCTAGCATTCATTTATACATATATGTAGCCCCTACTGTCTTCTTGAAAGGTTTTAAATGTACCTACATCTTAATTGGCTTGGGCTCAAATACACATCCTTTATATAGACCAAATATGCAGTCATTAAAAAAGCAAGAACATTTCCATGTTATGGAGTTATAAATGTCCCCAAATCTAACATGAGGTTAGAATTTTAAACTATTTTCAATTAGGAGAATAAGAAACTTCTGGTTTGTGGTCCAATAGATAAGCTGAGAAGCTGTCATTTCATCTAATAATAAGCAAAAGGTTGAGCAAACTGAAAAACCAACACCTCTTTTTAGATCCATTAGAAGAAAGTGAGGTCATAGGAAAAACCCAAATTGGAGAGACAAACAAGCAAATGTAGAGGATTACAACTTGCTAGAACAAAGACTCACCTGCAGACACCATGTGGGAGCTGGTGCTAGGGAAGGGAAGCCTGAACTGTAATTGATGAATTGCTGGAAAACTGAGTGGACACTTCCAAGAAGTAAAAATTCCAGGGGGTGGCCATGCCAAAAAGGACCCCAACATATATGAATTTTACCATTTGGAAGCCCACCAGGTCCTCACAGTTAATACAGGGAAAGAAAAAAAAAAACTTGTATTTTTAGCAGGGGAAGGAAATCAAATAATTTTGAAATACACCAGAGCATTCTACTCTTCTTAACAAGGCTGCATTCAGGAGAAACTAACTAGACCTTAACCTTCTGAGCATTATCAGAGTACAACTGATGTAAGAGAAGAAAAATACTCAACTCCAGTCCACTCCAGCTTGCAATACCACATAAAGGGTGCAGAAAAATCAAACATAAAACTGAGAATCACTTAAGTCACCTTTTAGAGGCACAGGCTCATTAAAAGTGAGTTTTGGTTGATTCCGAATGGAAAACTTTCTTCAGATCTTCCCAGAGGTTCTTTAAATTCAAATTGTGGCTATTTTAATTATTCTGAAAGTGACATTGCTTTTTGCTTAAAGGTATTGTTAGGTTGAAATGGATTAACTTCTCTGTAGCTTAAGAAATATGCATATATTTTAAAATGATAGTGGAAACTCACCATTAAAGATATGTTCAACTTGTTAAATTACCACTTCACCTGTCTGAGCTAAAAAAAATAATTCTTTTATAACAGAAAGTACTGCATACAATAAAGATTAATATACCACATAGTGCTGAAGTCCAATGTCTTGTATAATCCACTAGCGCAAGAAAGAAATCATGAAGAACATCATGATTTTACATGAATAGGCTCATGATTTAGTCATTGGTCATAAAATAGCCTTTTCCAAAACTGCATCCATTTACAACTCAAGAAATTTACTTTGACTTTATAGAAATTAAGAACAAATAATATTAAGACACATAGAAAAGAAACCCTGAAAAATTGATCATCAAATGTTAATTTCAAAAACCAAGACACTACAACAAATTCTTTGATTAATTTCTAGCTTATTTAATCAAACTTAAGCTATTACCCAATATATGGTAATAGTTTTATTTACTAATTTAAAAAACAACATATTGTATTTTTAATATAATCATGAACGCATTCAACAAATATTAAGCATCTGCTAAATTCTAGATTCCACACTAATTAGTGGCTATTTTCTTCACCCTATTAGCAAAGCCAAACTAATAAATCAAGAAGGTGAGTTTTTATAATTAATGTGCAAGAAATAGTGATGTGACATGACAAATGAGTAATATGGGGGGTTCAGCCATTTTTTATATGACCTTTATATCCAAGAAATTGACTGACTAGGTATATTTTCATTTGAGGATGTATAAAATCCCTAGGCTTTCATGTAATGATGAGATAGAATAGCTAAAATTCTCTGGTAAGTCCATTTAATTTTCTCAATAAATATATTTCTAAAGGTATAGTAACTAAGTGTATTTTTAAAGTATATTAGTTTACCAAGAAAAGTTAGTGGCAATCAAGGTAAGAAATGAAGTCTTCTTAGAGTATAATAACTTTTTTTTTGCTTTTGATTTCTAAAATAGTATTTTTATTAAACTAATTACAAACTAAGAAATTTGCATATAATGTGCTTTCAAAAGATTCATGGATAGATTGAATTAAAGTTGTATGAACTTTCTTGATGCACAAATACTTGATGGAATCAATAATAATCCATATAAGATGTCTGAAAATTTATGATTTCAATCAGAAAACCAAAATGTGGAAAGACATAGTTTTAGTAATAAACATGAAAATAAATGCAAAATTTCTTTCTTTTCGTTATATGTAAATAAACTGTTGACTAAAGAATAAAGAAATATTTTCACTGTCTTCATCTGAGAGGACTGGGAAGTGGTACCTTCAATTACTTCACTTAAAAACAGAATTATTAAGTAATTGATATGCCAATTGCTCTTGGAATTTAATTAAAAAGGAATCATGGGTGTAAGAGAATAAGACTTTAGCAGAATGTAGTTCAGTCATTTAAGAATGTTAAGAGATTAAAGTGGGGGTTTCAGGATAAATAATTGAGGGAATTTTGGAGGAAAAACTGAGACTTGAAGAGTGAACATTTTGATTTTGTTGATAGCAATTAAAAGCCACTGTAAAGATCTACTAACACAGGTGTTAATATTTCATTGCGAACTATATGAATAAATACATACACACCTTTTCAGCTTTCTAATATCCCATGTAAACTGTGGGTTGGGAAGCGGGGCACACGCAGAGAGACAAAGACTAGATGGATGATGTAAAACAAGATCGGCCATATGACTTAGTTGTCTTTCTCAAGAACTTACTATTAAGTTATGGGAACGTGTAAAAAGCCATTTGTGGGGGTGGGTGG